TAGAGTAGGGTAGCGTTGCATAGCATCGAGCAGATGAGCACGGGGGTAATCCAATCTTATGGAAAAACGGACTTTGGATTTGCGTCGGGTAGCATCTGGTAGCGGCGCATAGCGTTGCATCGGGTGTGTTCCCGGCTATACTCACTCCACCTCAAATCAATTTCTACTAGGCCTTGGCCAATGTTATTGCCTTCATCCATTTGTCAAAATCTACCCTCTCAACTGTAAGTGCGATGGATTTCTTGTCTTTTTGTAGCTTTAAATCTTATTTTTAAAGATATACGCATAACGTCTATTTTTTTCTAACGTGTTACATTCAAACTAGACCACGGGTTCTTTGCCATGTACGTAATAAGACATTCTTATATATAATAGATTCTTTTATTCTATACTGTACATAGGTTGTTGTTGTGTTTTCGCACTCATAATAAGAAGTGAAAGAGAATCAATTATGGTTTTGAAGGAATTCTTAGCATATTATGCGTTGGATGGCTGACTTACAAATACGTCTGACTAATTTAGAAAAAATGGCTTCCTATTAAGATATTTTCTGTTATTACACGATTCTCCAATGATGGTCCATATTAGGCCTACGCCATTTAAAAATTCTAGAGCAAATGTTAGTAAAATGGTGTTTTAGTTCTCAGACACCTATGATTTTTTTTTTGTCTTTCAAGCACAACAATTATGAACAATCTCAAGAATAGACCTCAGGGAAAAAAAAGCGGGTTCAAAGCGCTTAAAATTCGACTGCAATTAAACAGTTTAATTTGAGAGCGAATTCTCAGGATTGTAGTCGAAGCTAGTGTGGGAACTCGCGTGGTCAGTAGAGCGGATGTACAGCCGCCGGATGTACTGCCATTTCGTACCTCGGGTACTTTCTGATTTATAAGCCATCGCTAACAAACGCTAAACAGACCACCGTTACATTTTATGTTTTTTTGTGTTAAACTGATCAGCTTACTAAAACACCAGATAGACCTAGACTTTTCTCAAATGAAAGTTACGATTTTCCCGGATAGAAGCAATCTTCGAAAAGGCGTTCGCCTGTGAAGGTCTCGACCCTCTTCCATTTCGGCCGACTTTTACCTCGACGGGTCAGGACCGTCGTAAAAAGGTAGAAAAAGTTTTTCACCCCGCCCCTTTCGTAAAGGTATATCGGATCTATTGTGTCCAGTTTCGTAATCGCCGTTTTATAGTCGGTTTGAAGGAATATCCTAAGTGTTTTTATGAAGGTACAGGTCACTGGCAGGTTGAAAACCGCTCGACACCGTTGGTGATTTGTCGTGGGAAATCCATTTCTGAGCAATCTTAAGTTTCTTTAGGGAGTTCTGTTACTCATAGAAAAGTTATTATTATAATTTTCTACTTGAGTCGTCAATCAAACGTCCCCGTCATGATGATGTTACTATCTATATTAACAGAAAAAAATGGAAAAACAGCTTCGCTGCAAATATACATACGTTATAATACGTTATAAACATCTATAGAAAAAAACTCAATAGTGATAAATAAATAGACGGATTTATTTTTAAAATAAATTTATTGTTTAATGCATAGAATCCTAAATAACTGCAATGAATAAAGTGGTGCCACTCATTATTCACGCAGGCAAGTAGTATAATTTAATGTAAAAATAAAATTCTGTCTAAAAGTTTAAATATGTTACAGTATACTACAATTATGTAAATAAATTAAGTTATATTGTCGACTCGAAATAAATTTTTATCCATTAATTAATCTTTTTATATAAGGTCTTGGTTGAAATGAAAAAGTTAGTGACACGAGGGAGATTCGAACCCACAACCTTCGGCTCAATACGCCCTGTTCTAACCATTTGAGGTCGAAGTCACGATAGCTCAAGTGGTTAGATAGAGCAGCGGCGTATTGAGCCGAAGATCGTGGGTTCGAATCCCGTCCGTGACGCTAACTTTTTCATTTCAACCAAGACCTTACATAAAAAGATTAATTAATTGAAAGAAGTCATTTGGTCATTCGGACCACTAAATATAATGGATTTAATCAATTTTTATAGTTATAAATTGTATTATAGCTCACCAAAATGAAGCATTTTCTTTGTTTAAGCTGGGAAAACTTCATTATATACATGTACAAAGAACACATTCTAATACTTACAAATTCACACAGACAATGTAAAAACAAAAAGAACCGTACAACACACGCGCGCGCACACGTATATTAGCACATATTAGCACATTTATGGAACGCGATTCTCCTTTTTTATTTAAAATTTATCCGTTGGGCTTCCAGATCTAGACAACAGTTGATTGAAAGGGAAATTGTCCAACTTTGAAATTTTCTCGGATTGCCTCCCGGTGATTAAAACAATTATAAACTAAACCGTACATATTGGGAATTGTGAAATTACCTGTTTGTATGCGGTAGGGATATTCGTTTTTAATTACAACCCTTTAAATACTGTATAATACGTCGTATACTATTGCAATTTCAACCATGATTTTTTTTTCACGACAATCATAAATGAACAATTATAATTTTGTTCAAGCTATAAATGTACATCCCATGCAGTATGCGAAAAATGTAGACAAAATTAGCTTTTAATGTATGTTTTATTATATTATATTATATCATTTTAATTGCAGGACTAAATATTTGCATCTATCTGAAATATAGCTACGATTTTTAAATGCCAACCCTAAATACAGATAATAGGTCAATTTAAACTAATATTTTCGAGTCAACAATACTACAAACCGAACATAATTACAAGGTTGAAATTTAACCAAAGAATGAAATTTAAGTTTTTAATCACTGTTGAAACGAGGTGAAATATTAAATGTTAAAGCTTAGCTTAAGGTGTAATTGTATTGAACTGCTGAAAATAATTTCCTGTTAAAATAAATGGCGTGATTAAAGATAAAAAGCTTTCCGTGCAGGCTGCACGATCCGCTTAATGGACGGCAGCATATTAAAAAATGTACGGTGATCCGTTTATTTTTCTGAACGATATCTCGAAACGACGATAACGTCGCATGAACGGAGCCGACAAACTTCAAGAACGTTTGAAAAATTTGATGGCTAAAAACGTATATTTTTTTACAATCTTATTCTGAAATTTTAGATCATAGTGAGCAAACATTTTAAGGAAAACCTTGCATTTTAACGAGGTTTATCCTTTTGGGCTCAATTGGTAAGAAAAACATATTTGAAATGATCAGAGGGATTATTCCAGTATTCTGACGAGTCAATTTCGTTGAGTCATTTTTTAAAACTTTTTTCTCAGTTCAAATTAGCCTTATAGATATTTAATTAATCTTTTTATGTAAGGTTTTGGTTGAAATGAAAAAGTTAGTGTTACGAGCGGGATTCGAACCTACGTCGTTCGGTTCAATACGCCGCTACTCTAACCACCTGTGCTATCGTGATCAAGCCGAAGATCGTGGGGTCGAATCCCGCTCGTGTCACTAACTTTTTCATTTCAACAAAAACCTTACATAAAAAGATTAATTAATTGAAAGAAGTATTTTGGTCAATAGACCACTAAATATAAGGGACTTATAGATAATATACATAATAGATTTAGCTAATAGTAGGTAAAGTGATGACCACTGTGTTCCTAGTTGGTGTGATATTACTCTTCAGCCTCATCCAAAAGTATTAGTGTTTAACATACGTTGTAGCAATATAAAATGTATCTATTCCTGGACTGAGAAAAATTGCAAAAGACCTAATATAAATAAGGATAAAACGTAAAAAAAGAGGCAGATTAAAGTGCAAATGTTACAACCACCCTAACAAAATTCAGTCAGGAAATGAAAAGTAAATATTTTTAATATTATCTGGAACAAGAAGAACAGGGTAGGATTAGCCCATCTTCCTTCAACGACACATCTTTTTTAAAATAATTTATATAAAAAAGGGGTTGCAGTTAAGTTTTGCGAGTGACCACTTAGCACCTCTGCCGATCTTTTTAACCATTTTCACCCCCTGTCCCTTTTCCTGTACTTCCCTAATTCCTTTAATTCAGACTTGGCAGCGTTCTAACGAAGTTGGCGACTTCCCTTTTACAATTAAAAGTAATGGCCGAATGTGCGTACGGACGTCCCTGCGATCCGGCACAAAATTGATTATACGGTGCAGACGATTTACACTCCCCACGTCGGTTTATTTTAATTGAAATGCCGACGGGGCACGGATTAGAAAATTTTGATTTACCTTCTCTTTTCTAGTTAATCTCATTTTAATCGTAAAATTCAATCACGGCCTCTCGTCTCCAGACCTTTTATGCCAAATGTGGTTCGAGTTCAATTAATCTCACTCCATGGTTTTTCGACGGCACAGTTCAAATTCAAATCAAGTAATAACTTCTTTTATGTCGATTTGTTTATTAATGTATGTTGACATAATTTGATATTTAACATTTTCGTTTATCAAAACTGTTCTATCTGTTTCTATACATTTCATACTTCAAAATAAAAGATTTATTTTTAAATTATGTCTGCGCTGTCTCGGTTTACGATTCACTGGGACAGTTAGCCCGTCCTCTGTGAATATCCTAACTCGATATCTGAGAAAAATATCCAGTGAGATTAGCTGGCTACAATAGATAACATGTATATTTAAACAAAAAGCATTTTAGCACAAATTTTTTATTTTTCCCTCACAAAATTAAAATCAACAAATTTACAAACCAAAATGGCTAAAAAGTAGTACGTTGTGTGATTTGCTCTTGTGGTTTGCGTACTCATGAGCCTGTACATGGTCTTTTCATTGGTACTTAGTATTTTGGTATACCCAGACTGTTTCTGGATGTTTTTAAATCGCCATTTACTTCGCCTGTTCATATGCTAAGCTTAATTCCTTGATAGTGTGCCTTTCTAATTTTCTTTCTTCCTGTAAATAAAAGACTACTGGGTGCATTATTGTTAGAGCTCAAAGGGCATTCTAGCTTAAACATCTGATTGCCTATTAGCTTTCTTGTAATTTGTAAATCACTTGTTTTTGAAATATGGTCGGAAATCTTTAAAACGTACTTTTTAATTTTTTTAACAAGTGTGTTTCAACTACGAGGTTATATGAACCCTCAGGGTGTCGGTGATTTAGAAAATTCCAAGCCAGCGCCCATCTTCGAACCTGGGACCTGTACCTACAGTGATGAACCCCCTGTCAAAGCCTGAACCGTACCGCCACCGAAGGGTTTGGAGAGATTGTAATATAACTTACCCTGAGGAAGGCCTGGGATTGTTGTTAGGTAAGGATTGTACAAGTCAAAGTCGAGGTAACTGAGCTTCCCGTTAAAGCGGGCTATTTTTTGTCATGATCTCACTTTCGAAGGCGGAAGGGAGATGATTAAATAATCATTACCACCAAATATAATTTGACTTTCAGTCTCTCGTCAGAATTCCTCACTATTATTCCCTCATTATAACAGGTCGGCATTCATACCCTTTATGTTTTTAAGTGGCGGGGAGATCTGTTTGAAACCCACTTGAAACATACATGCGTTAAACAAATCCAGCAGGGTCCCGGCCATAAATTCCGCCTGTTCTGACGTGTCATCAGTAATGCCATTTATCGTTGAGTGGTCATCATCGATAACGTTGGCGCGGCAGCGGTCGACAATGGATACAACGGCAGTCGCCATTTCCCCGGGTGTAACTCGATGGTTGAACCGATATGATGCGGGACCTTCCCACAACTCTACCTTACATCCTTCCCGCTCGGGGGTAAAAAAAAGAAAAGTAAAACATAAAAAGAAGGCATTGAATACGGGCATCCCATGAGAGGAGCCACCGCAAAGTATCTCCTTTCATTACGAACAAGTTATCTATTTGAAATCATTGGAGCAAAAGAGAAATTTAACAATATTGGGTAATAACCATTCAACACCCTTTGAAAAAATACATTTATAACCACAGTTTTTTCATTGTGGATTAGAAAATAACATCTTTTCTTTCGATAATTTATTTACAAAGACAAAGGCGAAAGTGAAAGCTCGATTGTAATTATTTAAATATGTACAAAGTTAAAAGGAAAAATGAGTAATTTAACATATTTACATTTTTTAAGAATCACTCATAAAAAAGAAGATACTTAGAAGATTCTAACGATTTCACTACAGGCGTTTCGGTTTTATGTGATAATAACCGTTCAAAATCATTATAAAAGTAATGCGTAACTATTCTTTTTATGTAAAGTCTTGGTTGAAATGTAAAAGCTAGTGTCACGAACGGGATTCGAACCCACGTCCTTCGGCTTAATATAGCGCTGCTCTAACCACTTGAGCTATCGTGACTTCGATCAACTTGGACACCAACTCCCCATCTCAACCTACAACCTTTCGAATCTTCCCTCCTTTTTGCCATTTTTCAAATGTGCAATCTGGATTCGATTCTCGGCGACATATGAAGTGGCCACGGGTGAAGTTATACTTCGTTTTACTTATTAAATATTTCGTCGTCTATTGGAAGGAATGCATAACCGCGTTTTTTAGTTCATATTAACAAAACACGCGTTTATTGATTATTTGCCATACATAAAAAAAAGATATACGTATAAAAGAAATTTTCTTCTGCCGATAATTCCAAGTTATAATTAAACTATTTTCAAGGTGGGAAGTAAATGGATATTGTCAGATTTCCTTTTGGAGTCGGTTAAAAATTTGTTGTACGTTTTTTCCGATCATTTTGGTGTTTAGTGACCGTTAATTAATGATTATTTGGAGATCGTGAGACGCGGTCTGGTGTGACGTAGGTTCAGAAAAACTTTTTCTTTCTCATGCCAACGTTTCGAAGTTATTGAGATCATCGTTAGGGCTCGATGAAGATGTAAACGTTGGCATGATAAAGAAAATGTTTTTCTGAACCAAAATCACACCAGACCGTATTTCACGATCTACAAATAATTAGGAAAATGAAAATTTATATACTCTAATATTTTTTATATTTGTCTGACGTAAACTTTTAACAAAATTTTTTCACTTGTTTACTTTTATTTCATCTGCCGGAAAGTATGGACCGAAAGAGATGGAATGGTTTAGTGCTTTTTAACACTGGATGTTTTTAATTTATTTGATTTAATATAGAAGTTTTTATTGATCACTTTTCCCCTGATTGAATTCGTGTGATGCGACATGTAGGAAAAGTCCTGTTACTAATTTACGGGACATCTGATCGTCATTAGCGGCGGATGGGTAGGAAGATCCGGGACGTGGCCGCATTTGGAAGTCATCCCTTGAAAGGGCCTTTATGGGCGAGTTCAGGGTAGCGCACACACCATTTATTTCCATTCAGTGCCCCTTACAATCCATTAGTGCTCGTGATTGTGCACAACTCATGCCAGCCGACGGGAAGGGGATGCCTCCCCAAGCGTGTGTATACAAAGGGGGAACATCCGAAAGTCCCTGCACTACGAGGAGACGTCATTAATAGCCAGTTAACTCCCAGTTCAGACAGGATAACGGTTAAATCAATATGAACGGGAGATAATCCGGGTCATTTCTTACATCCAGGTGTAAGAATCGCAAACGGAAATGCAATGTTGTCTCCGATTTATGTCGAAATTGTTCCTCCTTCACTCTTATCGTCGTTAACGCTTAAACGAGCCAGACTTCAGGCTTAAGGTCAAAGCTAAAATATGGCTCGGATCTATCGTAAATTATTTATTACCGTATTCTTCGGGAAAAAAAAGTGAATCACGGAATAGATATAATCATTTTTCATGAAATTGCTTTATTGAATTCACATTAATTTCCAGCCCCCAGCTTATCATATTTTTTTTTAACTATAAAGTCTACCAGTTTTGTTCATCACGATTAAATCAGGTCAGCAACAAGTTCAGTTTATTACAATCGAGATTAGAAGAATAAACTGAACGATTAACGAGTTCAGTTTTTCGTCCAGTTTCTCCATCTGTTCTTCAAATGTGTCATTTTCTTTTTTTTTGTCGCGAAAAGGGTGTAAATTGGATAATAAAGCTATATTATAAATTTGCGTTTTGGTAGCGGCTTCAATATAGTAGGAGCAGAAAAAATAAATCATCGTAAAAAAGATGAGTTTCACTTATGGGATGGAAGAATCGGTACACATTTGATGATGTAAACTTGAAATAAATGTAGCCATGCTCTCCCTTTTCGATGCAGCAACGGTATTTTCTATTCAAATGAAACAATACGAACGATTGCTCGTACTTTCAGAGAGTCATTGAGACCCAAAACAGAACATATTCGTTACATTTAACTTCCAGATGAATTTCAATAAACGATTTTTCTTCGACTTATCAAGAGATTCGTCGTAAGGAATGGTCTTCTTAAGAGTGAGAATTTGTCAAATGTTCCAGACGATAGCCGGTGAGATGTAGAAAGTAGGAAAGAAGTGGGTTAGCTTCGGGTCGAGACCCGAAAAGGGCGGGGGGACTGGAATCCGGGCCTGTTATAGCCTCCAGGTAAACAGTAGCTAATTTCAAGGTGCCCGCTGGGCCACCTGGAACCCGTATGATCCAGTTGAAGTTCCGACCTCCGAGGATTGCGTTATCGCCACTTCATTAGCTTTAGAAGCAAAGTTGATTAGGACTCGGCCGGTCATAACCGTTCGATTTACCCCACTTTACAATCGCATCCCCAAGCCTAAGTGGTAGTTAATTTTATAACAGACTCCGTTATCGGTAGGGAGGACGAACCATTAGCAGCCCTCTGCCGGCTCTCCGAGTTCCGCCCCTTGGCAAAAAACCGCCTAATCGCGTTATTCTGACACCTCGCAAAAAGCAACGTTTCAGAGATTCTTCTATCAACTCTGAGGAAATAATTCAATATATGGGAGAAAATGGCTTTTTCACGGTTAATTTGGGGCTGGGAATAAGGTTTTTTAACCTCAAAGAGCACTACGGGTTAAAAATATGCCAGTTATTTGAATATAAAAAAGAAATAGCGTTGAAACATTGTTAATAAAACAAGAATAAAAAAGACCAACTACACAAGGTTTTTAAAATCAGCAAAAAAAAGCTTGCTTTATCTATATGTACTTGCATTTTAATGCACATGCAACAAATGCAGCGAAAATAAACGGCTTAGTACTTTTTTAATGGCCTCATGACTTACATATTAGGCAGAGTACGTATTCCGTTGATGTTTCATCGTATATAGTTTTTGGGAGGAAGGGTTGCGTAAAAAAAAGGACAGACGGTCCCCCGGAATTGAACCCACGTCCGCGGGTCTACGAGCCGAGTGTCTATCCGTACTTATATTTGTTAACTCAATAGTTGCCAAAAGTGATTGAATGCTATTAAGTACTCTTGGAAATAAACACAAGGTCGTTTAATACGATGTAATCATGAACTGATTCAATCCTTAATAATGAGAAACTCGGTGAGTCAAAGTGGGTCAAACATACAGAAACGATGGGAGTTTTTGTTTGCGCAGATTTAAAATTAAGCAATTTTCTTAAAAACCTGTATAAATTTGGTGGGCGGTATAGTTCAGTATATTTCAAATATTTTTGTTTAGGATTGTTTTAAATCAAGATAAAAACCTGTTTTGTTTACATTGAGACTTTTACTAATGGAATGACCGTGGAACATTTGTTTCAATAATTTATTTATATGTATTTTCACATTCGTGTCGTGTCGAGAGTGCCTACGACAGGCAAGAATGGCACAATTACACAAAAGACAACACTTTGAGCCCTGAAGATGATCTCAATAAAGAACGAAACGTTGGCACGATAAAGAAAATGTTTTTCTGAAACCTACATCACACCAGACCGCATGTCACGATTTCTAAGTAAATATGGATTAACGGTCACTAATCACCACACATTTAACGTAGTATCAAGGCTAGTTATAAGCTAAACAGCTTAATTTAACAACATGTGTTTGGACCAAAGATAGAACATAAAATGTAGGTAATGTAAAAAAGTACGTTTTGGCTTTTCTTCCCTTCAATTTCTATTCGGTCAATTCTTCAGGAAAAGAAGGCACTAATAGTTAGGTTTAGGGCTAGGGCTTTTCCGCACTTTCTCATTTAGCTGGGCTCGAAAGAGGATTAGACCCTTTGAACGCGGATCTTCAAATTCTAACGGGATCAGCCAGAAAGGGCCAAAGTTCTAAGAAAGTCGCCTTTAAAATTTAGTTTTTCTTTTCTCTTCCTGGTTATACAGCCCAGATATTTCTTCGCATACCTGAACAGATTTACGCGGGAATAATGTTTAGATTGACCTAAGTCTATTATTCCTGGGCGTGATTTTTTTAAAGTAAACC